TCAGGTAAGTCCATATTCTCTGCTACCTAGAGAGAAGTTTACCTATGTGTTATATCCACTGGCTGTTTCTCACAACTGTGTACGTGGTGGAATTTGTGCCTTTAATAACATTTTTAGTAGTCATTCTCTTCCACCCTGAAACATAGTTTTCTAGTGGTATTTACTCATGACTATGGGGCTCACTGGTTGCATAGCAATTTTAAGTTTTCAATGTTTATGTTTCTTTGTTATCAACATTGAATAGTGAGTGAAATTTATACTCTATATCTTCATTCAGCAAAAACTGAAGGTTTCGAACATGCTCCTCGCCCCAAATAATTATTTTTATACCCAAAGACGGGGCCGGTAACTATATCCTTAGCCATTTGGCTAAGTTCTTCTAGGATGATGAGGATGATGATGATGATGATCTTGCAGATTCCTAGTTTATGAAGAAAGCCTACTTAGAAAGCCAGTAATGATCCTGATCTTTCGTGGACTTCAACATGCTAGAAGCCATGATAGTTTTGTTCTTCTGTTATATCTGAAATAAGATTACTACTCCTACTCACTATGGAGCTATGCATTCATCTTCGACACTTGAAAATTTCCCTTCCTTTCTTGGCTCACAGTGTTATTTTGAACAGAAGCATCACATTTGATTTGTATTGCTCATACGTAGCCAGAGGTGGAAAGGCGTTAAATAAGCGAAAGATAACTTTTTAACATTGAAAGCTGTCTAATAGTGAAACAAATCTAGAATAGTAATGAGTTCCCATTACTATACGTGGCAAATCATAGAATAGAGGATTATCTACTAGGGGTGACTGAAGCAATTTCTGTTTGTGTACTAAGTGTGACAAGGCTACTTAAATTCTTAAGGTGAATGGTCTAAAGATGTAAGTGTTATAGTAAGACTTTTTATAAAGCTATATAATGGATCCTCAGAGCCTCAGCTTTCCCACCTAAAAGCTGGAGGACTCTGGGTAAGCCACTTTCCTTGTAAGGGCTACAGTTTCATCATCTGTAAAACTAGATATGGATAAAATTATGCCTAAGCTTTAAAATTCTTAATGAGTGTATTTCTGCCACTTTCCTTCAGGTTTATATATATATATATGTAACAGACATCTGACTCTTGAACTGCTGACTGAAACACTTTTATGATTTTTCATGCCCATAAAGTATATTAAATTGCTGGGAGAAATGGCTTTCTCTGACCATGGGATTATGTGTCACACTCATTTGATGCTAATATAAATTCAGAACCTCTACAGAGCTCCCCAGCTTGAAAGTTTAAGCTGCTATTAAACTGGTGGGCATAAAAGCAGACGTTTTCTGATACTAATGATCAGTTGATATTGGCAAGAATACACGAAACTGGTCACTAAAAGGAAAATGCTTGTTATAGAGAAACCACTTAAGCACACCTCTATCACAATGAATTCTAATTATCTGTTTTTTTCTCTGACATCTCAAGTAGACTGAAAGGTTCCTGAAGATAGTAGTTGCTATATATATATATCTATATATATATATATAGATATATATATATATCTCCCTATACCTGATATAATAAAAAAAATACTAGTTTTGTGGCATGATCCTGAGCTGCTTACATGTATTCTTATTTAAGATGGTATTGTAAATATTATTAGGATTATCTAACAATCACCTTTTAAGAAAGATACAAATATCATCCCAATTTAAGAGATGAGATAATCAAAAACAAGAGAGGCTGAATTATTTATTCAAGCAATTTAAGTGATAGAGAAAAAATTCTTATTTTGCCTGAGTCTAAAGCCTACAACACTATATTTCATAGTATTTTATAGTAGTTAGGATATAGTTACTTATACTTATTAGCCTATTAAGTGTACTATCATTTACATTGAAATGGGTATAGATCTCATTAGAATGTCATTCAATTTAATACAAAAAATAATTTTGAGCACCTGCCAGAAGACAGCTATTTTGCTCCGCAATTCAGAAGGCACAGAAAGAAGCAGAAGACAATTTCTGCATATATAGTTCAGAGTTTAGAAGAAAATATAAGATTGAACACAAATAACCTTATTACAAGTTGGAGAGATTAAGGGCTGTGAATAAAGCACTAAGTGCTTTGAAGATTCAACTAAAGGACAGACAACAGTCTTACCATAAGAGACTCCACAGTGAGGATGACATTTGAGAAGAGTCTTGATGACAGATAAAATTTTGATAAGAAGATAGTAATATTTTCATTAGAAGAAATATTATGAGGGTGAGGAATGAAGGTGGCATAAGTCACAGTCAGGCAAAAGTGTAGAAGTAACAGGTCAAGGACATGGCATCTGCACCAAAGTTAGTGGATGGTAAGGCTTTACAAAGGTAGCTAGGACATCCAGCTTTTATTTTTCTCCCCCTTCCCTTATGCAGAACTTTACTGGTGATCATTTCTCTTCAGGCAGAAATACTAAACAGTGTCAGCTGAATTTCTAATTCTAATTGTACCATATCCAGAATTTAGATGTTATCTTTGTCCAAGAATTATGTGTCATGTCCATTGACAAAGCATGTTGTCAGAAATTGTATTGTTTTCTGAATTACTAACAAGAAAAAAAAGATTCTACACTCATCCATGTACTGTATTTTCTCTTAGACCCACAGACTTATAAAAATAAGGGAGACTTCAAGAGTCATAGACATTCGAGGTAGAAAGGTACTTTGAATGTCTTCCAGCAAGTTCCTTTTCCTCGTCTTCCAGGAATTCTTTCTGTGTCTGAACTAAATGACTACCTAATCTATGCTTATATCTCTCCAGAGGAAAAGTATTGAAGTCATCTCTAGGTCATATGTTTCTTTGTTTTCAAATATGAAAATGCTCCTATTGCCCCAATTTGGAGTCATGCATTAGTGCTTCCCTCTACCAAGAAATGTCAAGTGACACCAAAGATGTCAAGAAGGATGGATGGCAACCTTGTGATTCTGTGACAAATAGAGCACGTTATTTGGAGTGGTATTAGATGGGAAGAGTGAACGAGAACTTGAGGCCTAAATCTCAAGAAATTTTCTTCTTTTTATGAAGGTAGGGCAAGTATTCAATTTATTAGTGCATGAGTTTTCCCAGTCCCCAAAATGCAAAGGCTAGTTTCATATTATAAAATTCTTTGAGATGCTTCCATACCTTAAGGCAATAACAAAAATAAAAGTTGTATAGCAACAAACTATAATTTATACATATAAAATTCTGCGATTTTATGTGAATCACATTTTATGGGTTTAATTCTCACTCTTTGCTTACTTTTCATTGCCTAACTGGAATCTAAATTCCATGAGGGTGAATCCACAGCTCACAGAAGCCTGTCTCCTCCCAGCTTTCCACACAAGTTTTGGTCTCTCCTCGCTAAAAACAATTAATAAATTACTTTTTTTGCATTTTATCTTGCCAGAATTGCCATTTAGAAAGCTTTTATTAAATTTGTATTTTATATGCATTTTCTTTTTTTATGTAATTCACAATGATTGCATCATTACTTGGCTATAAGAATCGTGATTTAATTATAGAATAAATATCAGAAATTTTGTCTGCTTGCAAATAATTCATAAACAAAAGATTGCATTCCCAAGATTATTTAGAAATTCACTAGAATCTAAAATGAAAATAATTATATTAGGACTCTACACACACACACACACACACACACACACACACACACAAGCAATTTATTCCTTACAATTAAATAATGTCCCCTTGAAAACAGGTTGTATAATCAACCAGTGAAAGGCAATGAGTTAACCTGAAATATTACAAGAACAGCAAATAAAATTGACGTGTAATGTTTAGGCCATGTGTGTTTTCCAGGACACCAAAGGATTTTGGCACTTAAAGTCACCACTTCTCTCTTTTCACCTGCTTATGAGATTATGCATGTTTGCATTAAATTGTTTTTAAGTTAAAGAAAAGGAAATTAAAGAACATACGAATTCCCCTCATTTGTGTGCCCTACAACTATTTCCCTAGTGAAATCATGCTGCTACATATATAATGAAGCCCCTGCTGAGCACTCAGACACTCAAGTCAAATCCCAGAAGACGTCCATTCCCTGCGTACGTAACTGGCCTCCTTTGAAGGAATTAATCATGGACAACCCAAGAAAATGTCTTAAGTAGCAAATTCCTATGAACGGTTTCTTGATTGAACTAAAGTCAGAAGAGTGAGCCCAAGGTGTTTAAGCTGCTTGTTTTGTGTGTATCTAGAAGGCTGTCCTTTTTTTTAAATGTTTGCCTTTGGATGTACTCTATCTTCATGTTATTGGTAACCACCGAATTATTGCTTACATACAGAAAGCTACTTTCATCCAGAATTCTAAATAACTGTATGATTATAAACATAAGACACATTCATCTGGAAATGTCATAAGTTCTCGAGGCAGCAACTCTCCTCCCTCTATCCTCCATCATGGTTGGAAGTGGGCCAGATACACAGGAAACTTCAGTCAGTCCACAGGTGATGACTTCATTTAAGAAAGCCCATATTAATCAATATTTTGTCGGCATGTCCAAAGGGCCAGCAGCACACTGGCCCTTTGGAGAGGGATGTGTGAACATCGTCTCCATTTACACAGGGTGTACCCCAAGTAACCGATAGAATCCTCTGGGGGAAAACTCCCAAAAATTCGGTAACAGGGCCTTTGAGCCCCTATGCTCAGGCCTGCTCCCACACCACTGTGGAGTGTACTTTCATTTTCAATAAAACCCTTCTTTCTTTAAAAAAAAAAAAAAAAAATAGGGAGTAAGCTTTCAAACAGTGGCCTTTTATTTTACCAGGCCCAAAATATTCTGAGAAATCTCCACCTGGGACATGTTATAACATCCAGTGACATCCAATGAAAGAAACTTCACTGAATTACATGGCTGCTAAAATGCATGGATATTTTTTGTGTAATTTGATCTGCAACTAACAACACAACTCTGTATTGTCAACAGTGATTATCTCTACGTGGTAAGAACACAGATAAACTTTATTTTCCTCTTTGTACTTTTTTTTTTTTTTGTATTTTAAAGTTCTCTAGAACAAAAAAAGAGATGAGACAATTATTATTTTGATGGACTATAGCATGTAGTGGGGAGGAGTGCAGACAGCAGAGCCAGACCACCTAGTTCTAATTTTTCTGTGTAAGCACTTACTAGCCGTGTGACCTTAGGCAAGTGATTTATCCTCAGTGGGCAGCAGGTTTTTCATTCACAAAGCAGAGATGATGACAATAAGAGTAACTACCTTACACAAGGTTGATATGAGGATTCAATAAGTTAAGATAAGTAAAGCAATTAAAATAATGCTGGCATAAAGTGAGCACTTTATAAATGCAAATAATTATTTTTAAAGCACATTTTCAATAACAATGCTGTTTGTTTACAGCGTGTGGCAGTAATGTCAGCTCTATGGTGCACCTCAGACCCTGGATCAAAACAAACCTCTCCAATTTTGCTAATAGATGAAATTATTTTTTCAATTGTCAATGTCGATCTACATATTTCTAAGGAAGGAACAATGTGAGTACTAGACGCAGGATTCCAAGTAGAGGCTTCAAACTGATTTGAGCTACCCAAAGGTTAACAGGGCAGCAACTGGGATGAGGGCACCTCATCCTCAGTGTCAGTCCTTTCACTAACTGTGTGTGACTTCAGGCACATTAGTTGCTTTCTCTGAGCCTTCTCACCCTTCATCTGCACTATTGTCCCTTTCCGTTCCCTCTTATTTATCTCTTCTCCTCTTATCAGAAAGATGGAGAGAAAAGTGCCGACCTGCTGAGTAAACAATAAGCAGTAAAATATTAAAAATAGTATCTTCATGCAAAATATGATCCTCAAAACACATCTGTGATGGGCATCATACCTCTACCTTGAAAGTTAAATAACTGACGCATTGGAAGTCTAAATTGAGATGTTATACAGCTCTCATCAAAATCAGAGTGCAAAGGAGAGCAATTGAGCATCTGTTAAGTGGATATGAAAGTGTGTTGCTCTCTCTCCACAAGGGAATTTAGAAGACTCATCGTCTTTGCCTAATAGTCTAGCACGACATATTTCTACTCCATCATTTCTCCCCTTTTCTAGGTAAGGGGAGTGTCTAATAATCCATCACAAAAGATAATTGTACCAAGTTTGTTATCTTTGACGATGAAATACACATTGATAAAAGGCGGTGGGGGCGTTCAAAGATTATCTTACCCTTAAATCCAGTAAGAGAGGTTAATGGGTACATCAAAGACCAAATTACAAAAGTTGAACATTGCAAATCCCATATAACCTTCAAGACTCTAGAAACCCTAAATGACTTTAATAAGAAGAAATGACTTCTGCTTCAATTTACATAAACTCAAAATGACTTTCGTCCATTGGTACCATCTCCTAAAATAGTGCTTCTCAAAGGCTCTACAGTGAAATAATGAATTCTCACAAAACGAAAGGAAAGAAAACAAAAACATATCAAAAACTGCATCATCACTTGTGTTTCCAGACTGAAAAGCCAGGCTATCGAATGCCAGAGATTCAAGGAATTTAAGTTCCTTATTTCCAAACAAGTTATTTGACACATATGGACCCCAAGAATCACAACAGAAGAGGATTTATCCAAGGTCACACAACTCAACTTGAACGGACTTGGAACAAAAACTCAGATGTTTGGATTTCTACATAGGAGTTTTGGAGATGGTTCTTGTATTATCCATGTGACTGGTTTTGTTCTGTATTTCCTCATTCTTACTGTTAGAGAGGTTGATGCTAAAAGATAATCTTTTCTGTCTTTCCTCTTGTAAAAATGTTCTACCTTAGATAAAATCAAATTCCTAACTTACTGACAAAACACTCTCTTTTCAAGTTGCCTATCTTAACCTTCATTGTGGTCACTTACTAATGTTGGTTCATCTTCCTCTGTACTTTCAAATAACTTCTAAAGTGGAATAGCTAGATAAGAAAAAAGTGGAGGAAAATATCATTTTAATGTTGCAGAATACAGCGATTTTTTATCTATTACCTCTTCAATTATTCAAAAAGTTAATACCAACATCCACAGCAATTCTATCTATAGAAAAATAAAATTATAAAAACATGACTGCACCTCCAGAAGATAAGTCCTGTTTCTGAGTTACATTACTATTCTTTCCTGTTTCCTTGTTTGGTTATTCTTTTGATATTCAGGTATTAACTTTAATTTAGAAAATAAATGTGGAACAATCCTTTCATGCCATAGACCAAGGGCATGTCATTTAATCATTGAAACACTAGTGGGGTCATTATCACCTGACAATTCTAGTTGATCTAAAATGCAGAATGCTTGTAATATTTATATGCTAAGGAAAATAGATTGGGACATCTATCTTTAATCCCTGAGATTCGATTACCTCCTGATGACTCTGTAGCCTATGCATGACTATAATATTCTCAATATTGTAACGACGCAAAATAAAACCATATTCCCTCAATGTAAAAATTATGCTGTTGTCAACTGTTTTCTTAGTTCATTCAGGCTGCAATAACTAAGTACCATAAGTTCGGTGCTTATCAACAATAGAAATTAATTACTCACAGTTCTGGAAACTGGAAAGTCCCAGGTCAGGGCACTGGCAGATTCAGCATCTGGTGAGGGCCAATCATTCTCTGCTTCATGCATGCCCATCTTCTCTGTATGTTCTTACGTGGGGAAATGCAGAGAACTCTCTGAGGCCTCTTTCGTAAGGGCATTGATTCCATCCTTGAGGGTGCCGCCCTTACGACCTAATCACCTCCCAAAGAGCCCACCTCCAAATTCCACCACACTGGGGGTTAGGTTTCAACATAGGAATTTTATGGGGACAAACAGTCAGTCTATAGCACCTGTTCCATCAGCACATGTTTCTAAAACCTACTGAATAATGTGTTCAACATGGGAGGTCCTGTGTATTTTTTTTTCAATTCTTTAAATCAAGAAGTCCAACATTTTTGAGAAAGGGTTCCTTTTCTGTCTGTAGATAATGTGCATGTCTGTGAGGAAAGAAGGAGGGACCCACTGCTATCAATTTGATCCTCCTCCTTTAGGAATCCTGAAAAAAAAAAAAAAACAGTGAAAGAAGAAAGGAGAATAATGGTAGGGATAGCACAAGGAAATTCTGTGTAAGATGTACAGAGAAATTGGCCGGGCGCGGTGGCTCAAGCCTGTAATCCCAGCACTTTGGGAGGCCGAGACGGGCGGATCACGAGGTCAGGAGATCGAAACCATCCTGGCTAACTCGGTAAAACCCCGTCTCTACTAAAAAATACAAAAAACTGGCCGGGCGAGGTGGCGGGCGCCTGTAGTCCCAGCTACTCGGGAGGCTGAGGCAGGAGAATGGCGTGAACCCGGGAGGCGGAGCTTGCAGTGAGCTGAGATCCGGCCACTGCACTCCAGCCTGGGCGACAGAGCGAGACTCCGTTTCAAAAAAAAAAAAAAAAAAAAGATGTACAGAGAAATCAATGTGAGACTGCTTCCCCGAATTATTTCTTCCTATAAGAAAATATTTGTATATCTTAGAGAAGTTAATATTTGACTATTAGGCTGACACTGGGTCCTTAGTATAAAATTAGAATCCTAATAATTTCTAACAGATTATACTTATTTATGATCACTAAATGCCATATTCAAAACAGAACCTCTCATTTAAACTTCAAGCTTTAGAAATAATTTGAATAAATGTGTTGACTGTTCATCCCTTTTCTGAACATTATCCCTCCTATTATTTTTAGGCGCAACATGTTTTAAGCTACAGTTCAATTCTCTATACTGCATCTTCAGTTTACTTCCATTTATACTATATTAACAATTTTCAAACTAACCAGGCAGAAATACACTGAACTGTAGCCCCAGAAATAGTTGAAATGAAATCAATGTTACTAAATCTGCATGCAGTGATTATAGATGGAAATATTGCATCGTTACCATGACAGTGCCATGACGCCTTTGATTTTTTTTTTCATGGAATGATAAAATATGCATTTAATAGGTATGTCTGATTGTCTTTCATTCTGGGTTTTGCTCACCAATGTAGTAACATGCTTTTTGTTAAACGTTATAGTATTGGAGGTCCTCTGCCTCCAGCTGCCATTAACTGGCATGGGGGACAAACATTCAGTCTACAGCACCTGTTCCATCAGCACATGTTTCTAAAACCTACTGAATAATGTGTTCAACATGGAGGTCAACAGTGAATCTAATCCTGTGTATTTTTTTCAATTCTTTAAATCAAGAAGTCTCAACATTTTTGAGAAAGGGTTCCTTTTCCGTCTGTAGGTAATGTGCATGTCTATGAGGAAAGCAGGAGGGACCCACTGCTATCAATTTGATCCTCCTCCTTTGGGAATCCTGAAAAAAACACAGTGAAGGAAGAAAGGAGAATAATGGTAGGCATAGCACAAGGAAATTCTTTGTATTCATGCTCTGTGTAAATTCTGGAAAATGTTTTCAGTTAAGCTTCCGAACTATGCATTTAATTTATATTTAATGAGACAGGAGAAGGTAAAGTTAATGTGAATTGATTAACTTAAAATAGATATATTGGTGTTTATTAATCTACCAGTAGGTAATAGTATGATCACCTTCTGAAGTTAAACCATCATCACTAAACCCCTTTTCTAGTTGAAGTTAAAGGTAAATGGAAGCATTAACAGATTAAGATGATTCAAGGACTGGCTCTTTCCTACAATTAAAGTTACAAATATCCCAATTTCCTTAAGCAATTTATAGCAGCTTTACTGTTTCATAAGCTTTTCTAAGCTCTAAAGCTTAGAGCTCTTTTAGTCCTTCCAATAAATGTGGAACTTTCCTCTACAGCCAAACCAGTAAATGGTTGTACTCAGCCACCTTGACGCAATGTGGGCCAACGCGAACCTCACCTAAAGGTCTATATGCTAGATCTTTAAGCATTGAAGACAGCTCTGAGGTCCCTCATTAAATTGTTTGTTTTTTTGTTTGTTTGCTTGCTTTTTCAGATGGAGTCTTGCTCTGCCTCCAGACTGCAGTGCAGTGGCGAGATGTTGGCTCACTGCAACCTCAGCCTCCTGGGTTCAAGTGATTCTCCTGTCTCAGCCCCCTGAGTAGCTGGGACTACAGGTGCATGCCACCATGCCCAGCTAACTTTTGTATTTGTAGTAGAGACAGGGTTTCACCATGTTGGCCAGGATGGTCTCGATCTCCTGACCTCGTGATCCACCCACCTTGGCCTCACAAAGTGCTGGGATTACAGGCATGAGCCACTGCACCCAGCCAAAACTATTCTTTTGTTGACAAGTCAATCCTAGGTACTTGAATAACATTCACATTATTGCACACCCTTCTAAACTGACTGCCTCTATGTGTCCGTTTCTTTCTTAAATTTCTTCCTTAAATTAGGAATCTAGTGTTCATATATGGTAGAAGCAGCCTATACTTTCATAACTTTGCACTATATCCCAGACCCTCCCACACACTTATTCTCCCCACATTCCAAGAATAGGAACTAAGATGAAATGGTTTGGCATTTTGGTAAATGTCTTATCAAACCATCAGTCTGACTTGTATTAGCTCTGATTTCTTTTAAGGATTAGGCAATGCTTTCTGACATGGTCAACTTTTGGTGGAAAACTAATTATCAGCTAAAAGACTACTTATGGGAAGACAGTCTTATGGCAATACCATCTTGACATTTCAAGAAAGTGTCCTTTTAAGATAAAATTCAGGAGAAAAAAAACACGCCACATGAAATAGAAGTCTATCTAAAAAAAAAAAAAAAAAAAAAAAAAAAAGATCCTTACTGAAAAGCAATGGTACTTAAAACTGTAAACTGTCAGGCCTATAGTGATGAAGGAGACACAATATGTTGTGAACCCTCCTAAGAGCCTTGGTTTATATCATTATTTCTATAAATCTTCTCATGATCACACCCTAACTGAGGAACACTCAGGAATCAAACTCAGGGCTGTGGCTTTAAAGCCTGTGCACTTTTCATTATATCCAGCTTCCTTAATACCAAGACCTCCGGAAAAGGGAGAAAAGGCAATGAATTCTGCTGCCAGCCAAGGAATTTTCTCATTCTATTTACCATTTGAGTTAAGGTATTAAGTAGCCCTGTAATCTGGGGCATGAAGACATATCATAAAGACTGACCAAAGTCTATTCCAAATTATTCACTGAGCAGAGTGTCTCAGGACAGAATGGGACACCAGGAAGTCACCAGGGGACTTTATTTTTGTGGACCTATTATTTTACCCTCAAATTAGCATCGGCTTATAAATTCTCTATTTCTGTGGATATCACCATCCTTCCCCTTCCATTCTAAATATGAAAAAATGAGGAGGCTGGATTCATGGCCTCCGAATGGCCATTGCTCCACCTGAGCCACTCTCCTTCACATGCCTCATTCAGCTCCATGGTGTTACCCAAGAAAACATTCCATCTGGTGTCACTCTGTCTTTTCTGGATGCTCCATTTCCAGGATATGCTGCCTAGTTTACTAAGTTAATCTGTTTAGAATGTGCCTCCAAACATGTCTATTACCTACGCCTAAGCTTCTGGATACCCCCATTACCTATAAGATAGTCATTTGCTGGTCATTTAAAGAGCTGTACAGTATTTCTCATTTCTATTTTTCTAGTTTCACTTCACATAATCCCACATTTATACCACATATGGCAGCCAAACTGACCTATTTGATTTTCCAAACATACGCTGAATTTTCTTAGGTCTAGACTATTACCTTAAGATGATGACTTTCCTAATACAGGGTTATCCTATTTTACTTCAGCTGATCATTGAAGACTGACCACCAATGAATCTGCAGTCCTAAAGCCTGTTCTTGTTTTGCAATATCACCATATTGAGATTTTGACCATCTTTCAGTTCCTTCTAAGATGTCACTTAAAATATTCTTATTATAGTATGTCTCTCTCTGTCTCTCTCTGTCTCTCTCTCTCTCTCTCTCTCTCACACACACACACACACACACAGACTTGCCCTGCATATCCCTTCTAGATTCAATTACTCATCTTTCATTCATAGTATGGGGTTTTAATAACAACAAGTACCTTGTAAGTGTTGCTTGAAATAAAGTAACATAAAGCACCCTTTGTAATAGTTTGAAAAGATGTCCCAATGTTTCCATACCAATATACTTAGGAGTGAGTACTACAGTACTTTTCTATAATCATAAAACTGCCTGACTTCATTTAATGTAAGGTCAGAAATGGAGGCGAGCTTGGTGCGATAAGTACTTTCACATAATCATCATTCCCACTCCACCATACACCGAGGGAACTTTGTTTTTTTCCAAGTCACAGATGGCATAAAAGAGAAAATGGAAGAACAGCTGGGAGTTTCACAAAGGTACCTTTGGCTCTCTCAGAAGCTCAGTTCAAACTGTCCCCACAGCCAGAACAAAGCAGTGAAAGAAGCAAAATTGCCCAATATTAAAATGCTTTATTTCACTTGAATTGCCCTGAATTGCTTCTATCCTCTGTTTAGCTTTAACTTAGGTGACCTGGCAGGTACAATTGCGGTGTGTGGCCTCCTTGAATAACAGCAACAAAGGCATAGTCCTTGAGAGCTGCCGACAGTGATGGCCTATAGGTGTCGCTGGCCAGCCTGAGCATAGATAGGAAGAAAAAAAATACAAAGCCTAGGGTGAAAGGATGGAGAAGTCAGAAATACAAGACAGAGCAACTCAGTGGTGAAATGGAACACCACAGGCTCACTCCTCTGCAAAAGAGTCGTATTTGTAAAATGGGCAAAACTCTTTCAAAATTTAGTAGATGTCCTATTTGAGTAGATGTTATAGTTTCCACTTCAATCAGGAGAAAGTAAAATAATGAGACATTTAATGTAGGACATATTTTAAACATATGTAGCATATTCATCAGAAAAACAAAGGGTTTCTGTACCAGATTTGGGGATTGGGTGAATAATTATTTATGTGTAATTCTAGGTTAATATACAAACGTGGACTTTCTCTGTTCTTGAAAATTTCTGTAGCTGGAGCTTCATTCTTCAAAATGTAACCTCCTACTTAACACCTTCACCCAATCCTCCTAGGAAAAA